TACGAGTCTTCCAGACTTTTGCTCGTTTTATGCTAGCAAAGCGATATCCTGCCACATCTGGCACACTAATCGTTCCTTCTGCCATCCTATGCCAATACCATCTAACAGTGCAAAGAACAGCCTGTCGCTTGCCCCTCCCGTTCCCCCCCCCCCCAGAATATTTAGAACCCTTATTTTTACTGAGATAACATTTGCGTGACCTCAGGAATTTTATTTTTATCATGTCACACATATTAAGTAGTTGGCTTCTTTCATCAATGGGCTAGAAAATATTTCTTTGAGATGCTAATTTCAGAGTGTTCCAATGTGTTGTCATCAATGCGGGAATATGGTTGCTGGTTTGGGCACTTCTGAAGTTGTGCTCATCTGGCAATGATATGTCTGCCGGTGTCATCTCAGTTCTGTCACATTTGATCGTTCTTCCCATATTCGTCTTCACTCGCATTGTGCTTGCTTTATGGTTTTCTGACATTGCTGGAGCGTGCTTGCGGACACTGAAGTTGGATCCTCCTCCAAGTGTTGAATTCAGGTTAGACATTGGTTAGAGGACACCTATTTTGTTGTTGAAGATCAAAGTTCCTTTTACAGTTGGTAGTTCGCCTTCGTGAAGGGTTCAGTTGCCTTAGGTGATAGCTTCCTTATTTTCAAATTATGCACAATTTTAGCACAGCTCTATCTGATGTGCTCGTATCGCTGTTGCTGGGATGTGTTTTTCTTGCGCAGGGTCTGCTCATGTCGTATCTTCCGCTACCAAGCTTTTTGTGCTCTATCATATCTTTCATTCACTTATCTCTTCTTAATTCGATGTACAGGTAGGTTTTTGAAATTTCCTTTTCAACATCTTAGAGTTATGGCTTACTTCATCGAGATGTGGCTTCTATAAGGCCAGTCATACGTTGCGACTTCGGAGATTGGCAGGATGCACGTCAAAGGGAAAGTGGAATCGTTGTTCTGACTAGTCTGGGGAACAGAAAAGTGCGCCCCAAGGGAGTAGATGAGAATCGATCGACTCTGTCGTTGGTGCATTGGGAGAAGAGGGAAGCACGATAATGGGGAGTTCAAAGAAAAAAATCAAAATGTGGGAGTAGGTTACCATGTACTCGCTGGTGCGCGTTCTCGTACTCTTCCAACTCGCCATGTCGATGCTTGCATTCTCCTTTTCACTCCTTCTTCTGTCCGCAAACCCTCGAGTGTCGCAAAGTATTAGACCGCGATCATACTTCGCGATCGCGCGATCCAGTTGAGCGATCGTGGCCGGGGGCACTCTACCGCCAAACCACCCCACCGCCACAACGGCAGAATTGCTGCAATGGGCATTAACGTGCACCGCCGCAGCGGCGCAATTTGTATTGGCACAGCGTTATGCGGCCCACACGCGGTTCGATCGCGTGACCGCGAAGTATGAACGCGCTCTGGACACGGTCCAGTACTAATACTCACAAAAGAACAAAAGAAGCCACGTTCAGTCCATTACTGTAGATGTTCACATTATAAGTCTCGTAGCCCTCTGTTCACCGTGTGTTTTCAGCTTTGAATATTTCTGGTCATCTCGCAGTGTGCTACTTCATAAACGTATTGAACGCCTGGAGGCGTATTTGCCATATTTCATTGGATTTGGTGCTCCCCTTACCCTTGTTTCTACATTGAGCAGCAATTTCCTGCTTAAATGGTTGTGTGTTTGGCACGTTTTTCCCTTTACTGATCATCAGCTCTTATAAGGTAAGCACTATCTGATGTTCTTTTCCATAGAACCTGGTTGACCAGTATTTTTTAGGCGACATGGGAAAGACCGAAAGAATTAAGGAGAGAATCACCGGTGATAAATATCTTTACTCCATCGCGTTTGGTTACGGATGGATTTGTAAACTTTTTCTCAGGAATGGTCGTTCAGCAGCCGAGGATTCGTTAACAGATTTGTATATAACTTATTGATTCGTCCGTGTAAATTGTAAATATTGTACATAATGCTTTATGGGTAGTGCCATATGTTAGGTTTAAAAAAATCGTCTTTGCTCAAATACATGTATAAAGCCGTTGTAATTATTTATGTGTGTCTTTCCGCAGAGGTTTGAAGCCTATATTACAACCGACGATGGTTTTAGTTTTGGTTGTCGATTGTAAGTAGAACGTGGTGAATGTTGGTGTGCTTTTTACAGGGATGACTCAACCTGGTATTGAGGGCCTAGCCGTAGGCCTAAACAAAGGCCACAAAGTGACGAAAATTGACCGCAAACCTCGTCAGAATCGACACATTGGAGCTTGTAGCAAGAAGTCCAAGGTGAGCTCGCAGTGGCATTACCCCCATTTGGAAAATGACATCGTTCGCGGTCTCTGTAGTACCTTCGGCTATCAAGGGTTATCTATTTTGTAAAAGCGATGGGGCACGCTAAGTTTCTGTTGAGAACCCTTTTAGAAAGCTAGTTTGATGTCGTTTCTAAGGTTTCGGTGTGTCGTCAATATTACTCCTTCTTATTGCAGGTTGTGCGTGAACTCGTAAGAGAGATCACTGGCTTTGCTCCCTATGAGAGACGTGTTCTTGAGTTGTTGCGTATATCCAAGGATAAGCGTGCACTCAAGTTCTTGAAGAAGCGAGTGGGTACCCACCTTCGTGCCAAGAAGAAGAGAGAGGATCTTCAGGGCGTCATTGTTGCCCAACGTAAACACCACAAGTAAAATTGTTGCTGTTATTGTTGTCCATAAATGGTTATTATCATGATTTGTTGGATTTGGCTCTAAACTCTGCGTCAATTGTCAGCCGTTATACGTGCCTGGTTCGGTGCATTAGTAGTGTTGATGAGAAAGTGGTCACTTTGCGTGTTCCTGAGTGGTGTAGCATTAGTCGCGCGCCAGATCGTATGAGGGTTGTCTCGAAAGAGTATACTGCGACACTTGCGATTAAATTGTTGACGACAAAGTACCGAACATCATCATGTTTGATGTTTTAGTCCACTGGTAGCTGTGGTGAGTGTCCTCTGGGGGGGGTGGTGTGGTGGCGGTTTCTGACACACATGGCGTACAAATCATGACTTTCGAGGAAGTTTACAGGATGCCCTAAAGTCCCCCAGAGATTGAGGTACTTCTCGACCTGTCCCATATTATGAGTTCCTCTAGAGCCACTCCGCCGTAGTCGAGGAAGCTGACACCTACGTTGTCTTGAGGAAGGATATCGCTTGCCATGCAGAAGGGCTAATCTTTTGCCATCACGCAGCGCTTCTAGGCTGGACTTATTTAACTCGTAGTAAGGCACTGTATAGGTCGCCACCAGCACAGAATGACGGCCCTTTACTCAAGCTTCTTGAAGCGCAGCCGAACGTAACCACCGGTAAGTTGGCGACCTCTCTAGGCTCCACCTGACTGACAACTGCCATGCTTCTCCGCAATCTCGGTTATCGGAAAAAATTTTTGTGAAGGATGCCTCATGAGTTGGACCCGTCTGACAAGTCATACCGAATGACCGCGACTGCGGACCCGTCTCTGACAAGTCATACCGAATGACAGCGAACTGAGTTTCTTTCTTGTACACAGGCAACTTTTAGGAGATCTTGTGGTTGGGTAGCGAGTGTGGAGTCTTGCCGCTTACTCATGCACATGTCCCTCGCAGGATCTCTCAAACAGTAAGTAGATTGCTTAGCCAAAAGCAGATGTGCATGGGATAAAGATTTCAGTGTGTTATTGGTGGGACTTCAAAGCGGTATCACTGGATACTAGCACCGTTGTAAGGACCACAGTCCACCTTAATCGACTTCAAAATATGCGAGAAGCGTCAAACGCTTGACTTCATTCGAAATTACTCAACTTTTTTCTCTCACTCTAGTAGATGCGAGTAGACGCGACGCGTGGGGTATCAGGCTACGCCAAAGTTCATGAGTTTCGGTCGAGACATCTACCGTACCCAGGTTATTTACAGTTAGCAGCCTCTATGAATTCCACCTCCATTTTTTTTGGCGTCCCTATCGCATCCTTTAGAAAGCAAAAATTCCGAAAATCGACCTCAACTCGAGAATGAGGTCCACCTCTTCTTTTTATCATAGTTGCCGTAGTTCTATGAGAATGGAAATGAGAAGCTGTGCAAAAGAAAGGGCATAGTCTATCATCAAACTGCAGGTTACCTTGTCCGATTGGCAATGTCCTTTACTGACCGGAATTTTGTTCGAGAAATTTGGTCAAAGTGTCGCAGGACTTTTCGAACAACCTAATAGTATGCTGAAGATGAGCGCAGTAGCTAGTTCTTCACGGTGAATATTTAAATCTCATGATGCCGGCTGAGCAATGCTTAATCGTACACGGCGCCTGTTGCGAGGGCGGGGGGGGAGAAGGGGGAATGCGGTTTGCGCTTTCGCTGCTTCATTACTTACGGTTTAAAAGTCTCACTGTGGTGGAATTTGTGAATTCTTGTGAAGCTGGAGCAAGCTCGTCGGGTTGCCATGGTAAATTCGGTTAAATCTCATGTGCTCACGAAATGGTTGTCTAGTTGGATCAACACGTCGATGGGAAGTAGCAAAAATGCAAGCTGCTGAGTTAGTATTAGGCATTAACAACACACCGAAGAGCAGGTTACTCCAGGAAATGTTCTGACATTTTCTTTTATTGGTCCATCCATACACGCCACTGAGCTGGAGAAACGCGGGATGGGGTGAATCGGAGGGAAACAAACGCGCTGAGAGAAGGGCATACGGCACATACGGTCAGGAATGGGAAAATCGAACTAGTGGTAGCATTCACTAGATTGGTATGTGTTGAATTATTTCTCAATTTCCACTTAGGACAAGTCGACAAGACTGCCACGCATCCTATTTGTAGATTTTACGGAAACCCATCGAAGTTAGATCCAGACAACCAACTCCTGTCTGGTCTTTGTAGCAGATCCTTCTCTTCCAGTTCTGTGTTCCCTGATCCTCCAAATAGATGAGTATATGTTTCGATTCCTTTATGTCCTGCTTTAATGGTGGTATGTAAAAACGCAGCCATTGAAGTGCACCTCGCTGATGGTAACAGTTCAACCGTTTACGTTAGCAGTAGTAGGAAATTTTCTACATTATTAAAATAGTGCAAAGAAGTGAGGAGTTTACTTGCTTCCTCACCTTGAGTAAGGGAGGAGGCGAGCAGGCTTATACTGTAAGTGGGTTAGTGGTTACGTCCTCACTTGCATGTAGCTGCCATTAGATTGCATTTTGCTATAAAGAAAAGTGAAGGTATGAGAGAAGCTTCAGGGCATAAGTTATGAAAGGTCGGGTGATCCGCAGTTTGTGCGGCTGCTCACTACGACTTTAGATTATTGATGAAGGTGCTAAGTATTGCTGTTCCGTAAACCTCAGCATTAGGCTGCGTTCATACCTCACAACAGCAGCGGCGATCACGTGATCGTCGGTACGTGACAGAGCGCGCCCTAACATATTACTGGACTGCTCGCTTTGATAAATAAGGAAATCCAACTTGTAATACCTTTTTTCTCTTAATAATGGCTACTAGCTGGAAACTGAGGACTTTCTCTACCTAAGAGGATCTGGAATATAAGGGAGGAGATGGTTTCACCTTTTATTTAGGCCGGGATAAGTGCAACTTCATTCGATAGGTGAGCTTCTTTTTTCCTTTCATTTCCTTTGTTTCAATTTATATACAATTATTTATGTGAGTGTTAGGTAATACTGGCTAAACTGTTCAACTTCCAAAACATTCATAGTTTATAAGTTGAGTGCAAACAATGAAAAAAAAAGAAACGGAAAGGAATTCACCTAGGAATCAAACACTAATTCTTTATGCAACATCGAGGAGGAGGAAACTTCATAAGTTCATGTATAAGCTCGAAGAATGAAAAAAAGAAACAATAAGAAACTTACCCTAAATGAAGCCTCCTTGCTTTTTGCTCATTTCTATCCTGAATCAAAAAAGAAAATAGAAAAGAAAAGCTGGAAAAGCATTGAGTTGGACGCACTTTTCCTTGAGTCAAGACAAGCTCTAGTACATACCTGAGTCAATTGTAATTAAAAAAAGGAAATTAAGCCAATTCCTCCTAAGAGCATTCGGAGCATTCTAACATTGGTGGGGCGCACTCTGACGCGTATCGATGATCGCGGCCATCGCCACCGCTGTCGCGAAGTATGAACGCTGCTTTATGATGGTTGTAAAGTGCTTGGATCCAGCTCCACCGTCCAAAACATAAAATCTTTCACAATCCTTTTTGAAATGCGACACCCATTCCACTTTTATTCAGGATCGTATATTGTTGATATGGCCTATGCAATAACTTGCGGGCACCAGCCGATGTTCAGTCGCTAGTGACTCTCCGGGGAAGAAATAAGCAAAAAAATATGGGGAACACTCTAAGGACCTCTTGGCAGCCCCTTTGTGCGAGTTTTTCAGAAATGATTGTTTTATGCCAGCAAAGCGATCTGCCGCCTCTGGCTCACTAATCGTTTCTTCTCGTCATCTAATGCTGAATACCATCTAGCAGTGGAAGAAAAACGAAAAATGCTATGTCAAGGCTGAACTTGTGTTGGAAAATAGCCCTTGAGCTTTGGTAGGCGGGACAACAGGGAGGTATCAGAACTGCCTCTTCCGACAGCCGCAGCGCCTCTGTTACTTCTTGTGGAGCTGCTAAAGTAGAACAGTCTTAGAGAAAGCAGAGCAGACTACTCGAACAAGGAAGGACGCCTGCGAATTACTTGAGCGCTTTGACTCATAAAGGGAGGATGAAACTTCCTGCATAAAGACTGTGAAAATCTTTAAACAGGAACTTTCATCCACCTTTTGTGATCTCCGAAAGGTCTGTAAATATGAGCGTACAGTTGGAACTTTCTTAGATAGAGTTGTTGGCTTGAATTCTTTTCAATTATTCTGCAGTTTTTGAGCTATACGAGTTGCATATCGCACCTGCAGCTTTGCTATCCGCGAAAACAGCAACAGGCGCATTAGAAAATGCAGTAGCTTCCATCACTCCGCCGTGAACTCCCTGGTCCTGCGAAATGTCGTCTGCTTGCCTGCCGCGTGTTTTACATCATGATAGTGACCGGGTTCTATTGACGAATGTGACCCTGGATCAACTTGATGACCACACTCCAGTGCAAAGACGCCTAGACCTAGAGCCAGATGAGTTGATGCTGAACTCTGCAAAGTCAGCGCTTTCTCACTCTTGTGTTTTGATTCGAGGTGAGACATTATTTGGTAGGAAGATGAAACACATTTTGGGCAGAGTTTTCAAGGGATATGTAGGGGAACCGGATGCGAAAAAAGTAAAAGACGGGCATCTGAAGGCGCCCTGTGACCATCTGTTTACGATTCGATTGAGAGCGCCATTCGTCCAATCTGAGCCTCAGGCCCGTTGATTACAGCGTGTTTTCACGTGGCGATGTCTCTGGGCAACTTGTTGTGTAGTGTGTGCGATTGCAGAAAATGTTTATCGTTTCCGCAGATATTGAAGAACATTGTGATATTCCTTCAGTTATGGAAATTTCTCAGTTTAAGTCGTATGCTGTGAGGGAATTGTGGCGTCTCAGGATACCTGTCAATCGCGAAAACTTCTTCGAGTTTTCTTCCTCCTTCTTTTTCTCCTCTTCCTTTCCATTGACCCTTCAACTGCTGGGCCAGTGGATACAATGAAAAAATACTCTTTAACTCTTGCAGTGGAGAACGCCGAATCCCTGTCTGAAACCAAATTTTGGCTGGAAATAAACTTC